ATACAACACAATATATATTTATATGTATGTCACTGTTTTATTTCTGGGACTACTTTATAGCTTCCGTTTCGATGATATGAAAGTGCATGTTTAGAGATTGAATTGATTTTTATGGACAGGCTATTGTTCCATTTTATTTCAATTAATTGCAGATTCATGATTCTGCTTATATGCTTGCACATAGAAATATTTTCATGCCTCTTGCACAAGTTCATCCTTATTAGTAAATTAATATATTTTGTGTGCCATCAAAACATATTCATGTTTGTACACTTTAGTGTAAGCCACGTTGCTATTTCAAGATAGCACTGTTTGATTTGTATATAGAAATTGCATGTTTCTAGTGTTAGGAAATCAATATTATTTTTCATGAGATGTTAATACAGTTGCATGCTACTTGGTTCAAGTATAATTTTAATGTTATAAATGATGAAAGTTTGATCACAATTCTCATTAAAGAAAATATCTGAATTACAGAGTATATTTATACAAGAGCTATGTAACTGAAAGATATGTAACTGAAAGTCTAACTACTCCTAATGACGTCTAACTACTTTCCAGTGGTTACGGAAACAGTTGAGCATCCATTGAGAGCTGTGATTGCATCTGATGCCGATGCATGAGAAGATGGTGCTGATGCACTTGCACTAGTGGGTTCCTCATCCTTAACAGCCCCCTTCAAGCTGATGGGAGCAGGGCAGACCAGAAGCTTGGACTGAAGCAACTGAAACCGAGAGGCAGACAGAGGCTTAGTGAAGATATCAGCAATCTGCTCGGCAGAGGGAATGTACTTGAGAACAAGAAGTTTGCCAGCAACCTTTTCACGGATAAAATGACAGTCCACCTCAATATGTTTGGAACGTGTATGAAATACGGGATTAGAAGCAAGTGCAATGGCGAATAAGTTGTCACACCAAAGAATAGGAGGACAGGGAGGAGAAATGGAAAGATCATGGAGAAGCATTTGTAACCAGCTCAATTCGGCAGTAGCCTGAGCAAGGGATCGATATTCAGCCTCCGTACTGGAGCGAGAGACAGTTGGTTGTTTCTTTGCAGACCAAGAGATAATATTGGAACCAAGATAGACACAATAACCGGAAGTAGATTTGCGATCTAAGAGATCCCCAGCCCAGTTAGAATCAGAGAAAGCTTGTAAGGTGAATGAACTAGGCCGAAAAATTAATCCATGAGAAAGAGAACCCTTAACAAATCGAAGAATTCATTTGACCAAAGCAAAGTGACCATTGGTAGGAGCATGCATGTATTGACAAGCTTGATTAACAGCTAATGAAAGATCGGGACGAGTAAGTGTAAGATATTGCAATGCTCCAACTAAGCTGCGATATAACTGCGGTTGAGCAAATGGAAGAGCAGCAGTAGAGGGAAGAGGAGATTTCATGGAGCTAGGTGTTGAACAAGGTTTACAAGAAGTCATGCCAGCTTTAACAAGAATATCAGAGGCATACTTCTGCTGAGATAAGAAATAAGAATCCCCAAGAGATTGAATGGAAATGCCCAAGAAATAGGAAATATCACCCAACTCTTTCATGGCAAAAGTGGAATGCATATGATGAATAAGAGTTTGAAGATGAGAAGGGTTACTACCAGTAAGAAGAATGTCATCAACATATACAAGAAGAATAGTAATCGAAGTAGAAGTTTTATGGATGAACAAGGAATTATCACAGTGGCTATTAAGAAATCCCTGAGAAAGAAGAAACTTGGAAAAAGTAGAATACCAAGCACGGGGAGCTTGCTTCAATCCATAGATAGCCTTGTGTAATTTGCATACAAGGTGAGGAGAAGAAGAACTAACAAAGCCTGGGGGTTGTGTCATATACACCTCTTCCTCCAAGTGACCATGTAAGAAGGCATTGCTAATGTCTAGCTGCTTTAAGGGCCAGTGATGATGCAAAGCAAGGCAGAGCAAAATGCGAATTGTGGGATGTTTTGCAACAGGACTAAAGGTTTCATTATAATCGAGACCTTCTTGTTGCAAGAAACCTTTAGCCACCAAACGGGCCTTGTATCGAGCAATGGAACCATCACTGTTGCGCTTAATACGGAACACCCATTTACAACCAATATCTTGTTTAGAAGCTGGAAGAGGAACCAGAGACCAGGTGCCTTGAGCCATTAAAGCTTTGTACTCATCAAGCATAGCCGCATGCCAATGTGGAGAGGCAAGAGCTTGTTGATAAGTAGAAGGTTCAATATCAACAAAGGAGGAAGATGGATGTGTCATAAGACCATGAACCTTTGAACGGGTGACCATGGGATGAATATTTGTAGTAGAGGAAAGAGGAGGTAAGGCAACAAAAATAGAGTGAACAGGAATAGGCTGAACTGATGCAGGAGAAGGTGGAATAGAGGCAGCTGGAACTGATGCAAGAGGCTGGTGCAGTGGTGCGGATTCAATAGGCTGCTGAAGTGGTGCAACCGATGGCTGAAGTGGGACAGCAGCAGGAAGCTGCTGAGGCAAAGTGGCAGAAGATGATAAATCAGATGGATGGTGTGCTGAGACAGCAGGGGCAGCAGACACAGATGCACAAGGCTGGGCTGGAAGCATAGAAAGTTGAGACTGTGATGCAACAAAAGACTGCTGAAGTGGGGCAGCAGCCGGGTGGTATAAGGTTTCAACCAAGGGAAACATTGACACCCAAATACTCTGAGAAAAGAGTAATCAGGTAAGTCATGAAAAAGAAGTTCATAAGGGGACTTATGCAAAAGAGTGTCACTAGGGAGTCTATTAATGAGATGAGTAGCAGTAGAAACGGCATCAAACCAAAATTTGAGGGGAACACTAGAATGATGAAGCAAAGCAATAGTGGTCTCAATAATATGTCGATGTTTGCGTTCCGAGACCCCATTCTGAGGGGGAGTGTAAGGACAAGATATTTGATGAACAATCCCTTGTGCTTTCAGAAATTGAGTCATAGAAGAATTAACAAATTCAGTACCTCCATCAGTTCGAAGTACTTGCAATTTAGTGGAAAATTGAGTCTCAATATAAGCCTTAAATTCTAAAAATTTGGAAAACACTTCACTTTTATAACAAAGAGGATAAAGCCAAGTAAACTTACTATAGTCATCAATGAAAAGTACATAGAATTTGTAACAAGAGGAAGAAGAATGAAATGGCCCCCATACATCACTATGTATAAGAGATAGGGGCTTATTTACAGTAGAATTAGAAAGTTTGAAAGGCAGTCGATGACTTTTAGCTATGTTGCAATGAGTACAAGAAAACACAGTGGACTTAGGATGAGTATTAGCAACAGACAAGTGTTTTTTTAAAACTACAAATTTTTGTTGAGAGGGATGACCCAATCTGTGATGCCAAGTAACTTCAGAGACAGGACTAGTAGTAGCAGAAAATACAGCATGAGAGGATGATGCAGGAAGAGGATGCACAGCAGTAGGAGATGGTGATGACAAATGTGGAAAGTGATATAAGCCCTGAGTATTATGGCCTTGGTGCAGGATGCCCTTCGAGTGTTTGTCCTGAATCACAAAGGAAGAGTCATCAAATGTCACAGTGCAATTATTATCCTTGGTAAGTTGATGCACAAAAAGAAGGTTGGAAGAGATAGGAGCATGCAAAAGCTTTTTAAGCTTAAAGGAATAATGAGGAGTAGGAAGTAGGCATGTACCTGTATGATGAATAGGAATGGACTTACCACTACCTACAGTAATCTGATCAGGGCCATGATAATCCTGATACATGTGAAGATTAGAGAGATCATTAGTAATATGATCAGAAGCTGCAGAATCAAGGTACCAGGGAGGAGAATCAGCTGAAACAGTGGATGGAGTGGAAGTCACAAAGGCTTGAGGAGAAGAATAGCCAGATGAAGGAGATGCTAAAGCAGATGAAGAAGCAAAATTAGAGGAAAATGATGGGTTAAAGGTGGGATCCAGTCGATGCCAACAGTCAAGGGCAGTGTGGTTGCTTTTCCCACAGATTTGACAAGTTAAGTTGTAGGAGGAATATCGACCTCGGCCACCACGAGAAGAAGATCGAGTACTACCACCACGAAGACCACCTCTAAAACCACTTCTGGACCCGCGAAGAGACGAGCGTCCTCCTCTAGAAGCAGAACTAAATGAACCACGTTGTGCATGTGCAGTATAGGCAACTGAAGGTTCATGAGACTGCAACTTTCTCTGTTTAGCTGTAATGTGAATTGATTCAGAATTTAAGAGAGAGGTTAACTCTGCCATAGAAATAGGCTCAATACATGCTCGAATGGTGGTTTTGAGAGCATCAAATTCATCTGGTAAACCATTGAGAGTGAGAAGTACCAGATCTTCTTCATCAACCGGTGAAGAAGCCAAAGTTAATTAATCAGAAAGATCTTTGATCTGAGTCAAATACTCATGCATGGTCAATGAATCTTTTGTCAGATGATTCAAACGATTCTTCAATTCATGAATATGAGATCTAGATAACACTGTGAATCTTTGACAGAGAGCATTCCAAACCTCAAAGCTATGGTGCAAATGAAGAACAGAGGAAAATATCGGAGGTGTAAGTGTAGCTGTTATACAGCTTAGGAGATGAGCATCTGTTTTGTTCCACTGTGCTCTAGCTGGATTGAGCACTTCAACACCATTGGAATCTTTGATCTGCAATGGTGGACAAGGAACTAAACCAGTTGCAAAATCAAACAACTCAGTGGCTCGCAGAACATTTTGAAACTGACTGCGCCAGATTAAAAAATTTGTAGAATCAAGTTTCACTGTAATGAGTGAACTGAGATTAGACATCAACAGACTGAGATTAGATGATAAAGAAGAAGAAGAAGATGAATCAGAAGCAGCCATGGATGGCCCAGAGTTGTGCTCGTGAGAGCTTTAGCAATGCTCTGATACCATGATGAAAGTTTGATCACAATTCTCATTAAAGAAAATATCTGAATTACAGAGTATATTTATACAAGAGCTATGTAACTGAAAGATATGTAACTGAAAGTCTAACTACTCCTAATGACGTCTAACTACTTTCCAGTGGTTACGGAAACAGTTGAGCATCCATTGAGAGCTGTGATTGCATCTGATGCTGATGCATGAGAAGATGGTGCTGATGCACTTGCACTAGTGGGTTCCTCATCCTTAACAATAAACATTATTCCTAGTCTACTGCCATGATTTGAATGCTCCTTTATTTTATAGTTTCATAATATAATTTGCATGTTCTAATTTTTCTAGATTTAAATGTATGATCTTATTGCTAAAAGAATTTACATGTTATTTGCTAGAAATATTCACATGTTTAGTACATGATTATCGTTTTGTAAAAATTTAATATAACTTTAGCCTATTAATTTTTTAATTTAAGTATTTGAAGTTATAAAATTTTTGTGACGTGTTTATATTTATTTGCATGTTTATTGTGTAATAATATATATAACTGATGGCTATTAACTTTTAATTTAATTTTTAGAGTTATAGGTTTATTGTTGTAACTCATCTAGCATTTTAATTCATTAGTTAATTTTGCTATTACCTAGTCGGCTAGAAGGTTTAAATGGGTTTATTGCGTTTACAATTTTTCTCAATTATTTGTTTTGTTTTGTTTTTTTGTTTTTTTGTTTTTTTTTTTTTTTTTTTTTTGATTTTTTGCTAACTTTCTTTACAGGAATACCTATGCAAAAGGGAATGGGAAAAAATACAAATCCAAATTAATAGAAATTTGGGCTTGCAATAAAAAAAATTTAGACTACTAACATTTTTTGTCGGATAGAAATACCCAAGCGTGGAAAAGATTTTGGACCAAATAAAATCTATATGGATTGGTTACTTTCTTTATAATTGAAGGAATTTTTTGCTTGGACTTTAGCAGTGGTTTTTTACCAATATATAAAAGCAAGTTTTATTTGCTTGTAATTGTTGTAGCAATTGTTTTAAATTGCATGCAAGTTTGTAACTTGGTTTTGTTTTAACCTAGTTTATCTCTTGAAAAACTTAATTCTCAAAATTGTTTCCCATGGATTAGGGGTCAACATGCTCTTCAAAGTTTTGTCTAAGGTTGGTTGGGTTTTAAGTGAGACCGGTGTGACCTTTCCAGTCTTCCTAGAAACATTCCTAACCATGTTCAATTCTAGGTTAAGTGATGAGACTAATTGTGAATTAAATTTCCGACTCCGGGATTTTCTAGTGTTAAGTTTGATTTCTGGAAAAACAGAATGATGAATTATGTTGTATTTTTCAGAAATGGCAACTGTCAAATTTTTTGTTTTTATATCCTAAATATTATTCATTTGGTTTTGTATTTGTTTTTTCCAATCCCTTTGGCATAGGTATTCTTGTAAAGATAGTTGGCAAAAAAACATAAGAAAATACAAACCAAATAATTGAAAAACCTGTAAAAGCAATAAATTGATTTAAACCTTCTAATAAACTATTTAATAGCAAAAACAACTAAGGAATTAAAGGGCTAGGACTGCAAAGTCCTTTGGTCTAGACTTCTTAACTTGTATGTTAGAGGGAGAACCTCAAACTTTCTATGAAACTGTGACTTCACTTGAAAATCCTTTATGGAAAGAAACAATTAAAAGTGAAATTGACTCTATCTTACAGAATTATACTTGGGAGTTAGTTGATCTACCCCCAGGCAATAAGGCCTTGGGGAGTAAGTGGATCTTTAGAAGAAAGATGAAAGTTGATGGATCAATTGATAAGTATAAACTAGAATAGTTATCAAAGGATACAGGTAGCGAGAAGACTTGGATTACTTTGATACGTATTCACTTGTGACAAGGATTACATCCATTCGCATGGTGATTGAAATAATAGCTTTACGTGGTCTGCAGATACATCAGACGAATATAAAGACAGCTTTTTTAAATGGAGATTTAGATGAAGAAATCTACATAGAGCAACCCGAGGAGTTTTCATCTCTAGAACAAAATAAGAAAGTATGGAAGCTTGTCAAATCATTGTATGGTTTGAAGCAAGCTCCTAAACAGTGGCATGAGAAGTTTGACAACGTTATGTTATCGAATGGGTTCAAAATCAATGAGTATGACAAGCGCGTATATATCAAATATATTGACAGAGGTTATGTCATTTTGTGTCTATACATTGATGACATACTCATTGTTGGTAGTAATGATAAGATGATTCGAACTACCAAGAGATTGTTAAACTCTAAGTTTGACATAAAAGATATGGGCCTTGCAGATGTAATTCTAGGTGTCAAGATTACCAAAACATTTGATGGTATTGAACTTTTTCAATCTCAATATGTTGAGAAAATACTTGAGAAATTTGGTAAATCAGATACAAATGTGTCTAGGACACCAGTAGACTTGAGTCTACACTTGACCAAGAATAATAGTGAGAGTGTCTCTGAGTTAGAATATTCTCGAGTCATTGGGAGTTTGATGTATTTGATGAGTTGTACAAGGCCAAATATAGCCTACTCAGTTAGCAAGCTTAGTAGATACAAAATAAATTCTGCACTTGATGTTTTTGAAGTTTGATTCTTATAACAAAATAAATTCTGAAGTTTTAATTTTGTCATTTTAAATTCTAATATTTCAATTTATTTTCAATCTAAACCATGTCTATTTTCGTTAAAGAAAATCGATAGAAAAATAGTTATTTTAATCATCAAACTCAATGAAAATAATATTTTAAACATTTTTTGTACACTTACATTGAGTTTAATGGCTAAAATACTCGTTTTTTGTCAGTTTTACTTAACGAAAATAAACAAATGATTTAGATTGATAATAAATCAAAAGATTACGAGTTAAATTAATAAAATAAAAAATTCAAAATTTATTTTGTTGCAAGAATCAAACTTCAATTTTTTTTTTCCTATATTTTTTTATTTGTATAATATTACTACGACATACCTTTCTTGGCTTTTGGCTAGGATAAGTTTATTAGTTGTTCTTATCATTAATAGCAATAAAATAACAGTGTCTTTATTACAAACATCATTAATGGAAAACAAATATAGCCAGAGTTTTGAAACCTGAGAAACATGAAGAAAAATCTAAGCCATGTTGACCGTGGTGGGAAGGCAAACCAAGCTATTCATTTGTGTCCTTGTTCGAAGTTCCCTTTTTGAATCAACATATCTGTAAAAAGTCAGAATTTTGGATTTTTTTTTAAAAAATAAGTCGCCATTTCTCATGCAAAGTATCGAAGTGATTGATACATTATGTTGATTTACCAATATTTTGCACAAAGAATGGGGGAGATTTATGATCTTACTTCATTTGTGCAGCAAAGGACGAATTTTTACTTCATCAGTCTACACCAAGGATGCAAAAAACCCGAATTGTTTTGTGTGATGTTTTTTTAATCAAAGTCCATTTCAATGTATTTGTTGAGAAAGAGTTTTTTTTTTTTTTTTTGTGGGAAGTGTGGGTTTGATTACACGGCTTCAACTTTAAAATTGTGTTTTTAAAACAGGACTTTTTAATAAGGTCGTGTTTTTAAATAATTTTACTATAAAAAACTTTTAAAGTCAAGTTTTCAAAACACCATGTTAAACTTTAAAATCAACTTTAGAAAACATTAGTTTGGAAAGTAAGTTTGGAACCACTTGAGTTTTGGAAATATGATTTACAATCAAATGCTTTTGGTATAAAACTAATGGTTTCTGTTGATGAAAAATCTTGAAAGGTTTTTAAACAAGGAAATAATGATTCAGTGTAAAAAAAAAAGAATTTACACATCAATTGTAAACTGCATAAATATTAATAATTAAAATTCTAAACTTTTGTATGTGTCAGTAATTTTTTTTTTAAAACTCACTGGGCTATAATTTCCCTTTCTAAGTGACTCATGTTCAAAAAAACAAAAAAAAAAAAAAAAACTTGAATTTTGTCACTATGTGAAGAAATTGAAAAATAAGACTAAAATAGTTGAGTATTTATACTAATTAGCATTTTAGAACAAGAAAGAGACTTCATAATAGTACCTTTACGTAATTACCCACATGGGCCTTCAGTTGTGTTCTGCTCCCATTATTCTTCTTAAGCGGTTCAAGTTCATCATCATAACAACGAAAAGCCAATCTCTCATTTTATCAACACACCCAAAATAGGCACATCTCCAAGACTTCTTTAACACCAAACATCTCCATGCCAAGGTAGAAGCCCAGGTTTTCGTTCTCATCTTCATCTTTGTGAGTCTTAACATGTTGGTTTCCATCAGCATCTCTATCATTAGGCATCAGACACTTGGTTGACAATGGAGGCCCACAAAGTTCTGGGTTACCCTCGTAAATAGAAGGATCATTGAAGGTTAGGAACTGGTTGACGGAGGGAATTGGTCCAGACAAATTATTAAATGACAAATTCAATGAGTTTAGTGAGGTCATAGAGGACATGGTTAGAGGAATTGGATCTGAAAGGTGGTTGCATGAGAGGTCAAGTGTTTCTAACCGTTGTAAGCTTCCAATCTTCTCTGGTATTTTCCCTGTCAGTCGGTTGTGGGATAAATTTAAGGTACCCAAGGTTGAGAGATTTGTTATTAGTTCTGGGATCTCCCCCTGAAGATTGTTGCTCTACAAGTCAATGATATTTACCAACTCAAGAGTCAAGGTATATATCAATTGTCTTCCTTTCATAACCAATTCCATTTCCTTTTTCATTTCCATTTCCAATTCCATTTCCGTTTCCATTTGCATTTGCATTTGCATTTGCGTTTGTGGACCATACAGGTCACTCTTAGAGGGTTTATATGGGCTATATGATATCAATGAATTCAGAGCACCCAATTTTCCCAAGCATGATGGAATGGATCCTGATAAATTATTAAGAGCGAGGTCTAGGATGTGGAGGTGAGTAAGAGAGCATAGTTGTTCAGGAATATTTCCACTGAACATGTTAGCTCGTATGCGCAGTTCTGATAGTGATAAGAAGTCTTTTCCAATGTATTTGGGTATGTTCCCGTAGAATCGATTTTCTCCAAGATCAAGCATCGTCAAGCCTTTGCAGTTCTGGAATGCAAAAGAGAGTTCCCCTGAAAGATTGTTGCTGCTTAATTTTAACCAAAAAAGCGCTGGTAGTGAGCAAATTGAACTTGGAATCTCACCAAGTAAATTGTTTCCGGATAAATCAATTATTCCAAGACTTGGTAAATCCCTCCATTGACCATGGATTTTTCCAGATAAATAGTTGTTTGATAGATAAAGCATTGCTAGATGTTCCATCCTACCTACGGACAATGGGATGCTACCATTTAGGAAGTTCCCAGATAAATCAAGAACTTCCAATGACAGCATCATTTGGTCGATGTTCATGGGAATTGATCCTGAAAATAAATTGTTTGCCAAGAGGAGATGTGACACATTAGGCCAAACTGGGAGTGAACCCTCTAAGCAATTGAAACTTAAATCCACTAGATATGCTCTAGAAAATACTAATGAATTGGGAAGCACTCCATGTATCCAATTACCAGAAAGATCTAACCAAAAAATCTGTGGAGATAACTCCCAAAGCCAATAAGGTATTGTTTCTGAAATGGCAACGTTTGTAAGCCTTATATAAGAAAGTTGTTTTTGATTACTTAGCCACGCTGGAAATCTGGGACCCAATCGACAGTTCCAGACTGTGATTTCTGTTAGGCTAAATGGAGGAACCCATTCGTGGCTCATATTGAAGATTAAACTTTTGTTCGACGATGATATTCTGAAACTTCGCAATTTTGTGAGGCCTTGCAAATGATTTTGGGAGAGAGCACCTTCCCAGTAATTGTTATCAAGTAACAAGAAGTTTAAGTTTGCAAGTTTTCCGATGCCATCTGGTATGGACCCATTCATTTGATTAAAAGAGAGGTCTAACATCTCCAATTTGGACAACCTTCCAATTGATGCTGGGATTGGGCCTGAGATTAAGTTATTAAAAAGTAGAAAGTATCTTAAGTTCTGAAGGCATGCTAGTGAATAGTCTGGCAACTGTCCACTCACTTGGTTACTTCCTAACCATAAATCTTCTATGCTACTGTTGCTGCATTCAACCAAACCCCTTATAAGTTCACTTATGTCTCCGTTAACTTGATTTTCGAATAAATCTAAAGTTCTCAAGTTGCAGAGGTTTCCCCATGGGATATCAGAAACAGAGGTCTTCATATAACTACTAGAAAGATATAGATCCAAAAGGGAACTTATATTAAACAACCATTGAGGTATTGAAGAGTTGAAATTGTTATCAGAGATATCAAGGACGGAAAGGGAAGTGAAATTTATGTTTGGTACAGAGTGAGGCAATAGGGCAAGACAGGATCCTTGCAATCTCAATTACGACAGAGAAGGAAGCATATTAAGAGCTTGCAGCCAATTAGTACTTGCCAAAGTGAGGTTCACATTTCCAAGATTAAGATATTTTAGAGAAGACAGACCAACAAGCCAGTTTAAATCGGAAATTCTCATCCCCCCCTTGACCCCTTCTTGATCTGATCGGTCAGATTTTTTTTTTCTTTTTTTATTTTTTCCTTCCTCCTCCAATCACCACCCGCCAGTTTGTGAAGGGGTGGTGATTGGAGGGGGTCCTCTATCAAAGCCCTTTAATTTATTGTGAGATAATTTTTTTTTTTACTTCTATTTTTAATTTTTAAATTTTTTTCATCATTTAAGAAATATTAACCTTTTATTTTTTAATATGCATCGATTAGAAGTTTAATGACTAAAAGATAAAAATTAGAATTTGATAATAATATATGATTGAAAAAAAGTAAAAATAATAATTTTTTTCATATGAATAAATAAGTAATGTAAATTGTTGAGAAAAAAAAAATCTATTTATTTTAACTTTAAAAAAAATCAAATAATAAATGTTTACGAAAATAATAAATTTTAAGTTATATGTGTGTGAAATAAGTCTTATATTAAATTATTAGGATGTTATCTAACATTAATTTTAGAGGATTATTTATTTTTAAGTATTTTATCAATAATTTTTTTTTGCATTAAATATTTAATAATCTCTTAACAATTTAAAGATTTTATTGAATATTGCATGAAATTTAGAATTTTATTAAATAATGGTAAAATATGTATGGTTTTGATAATATATATGAAAATCTAATGCAGTGAGTGAAATTTCTGATTTGAATAGATAAAGTAATTAATGGACAATTTTTCATTTTGGTATAGCATCAGAAATTCTATTAAATAACCTAACAGAGGAAAAATTTGATAATAGTTTCAAAGTAAAGAATGTAATTTGAAATTAAAAGAAAAGTCCATTATAATTTTAGAAAGCTCACATAATACGTGTAATTTATCTAAACTAAGCTAATTATTATCAACAATTCAAATTTATTTACGATAGATGGCTCATGTTCATTTATTCATCATTTATGATAGGGAAAATAACTTGATGATGTTAGTAGAAAAAATTATTGTAATTACAAAAGGTGAAAAATATTATAAACATTAATACTATAATTATAATTTTTTTATTAATTTATAATTAATTTTCCTCACACTAATTGTCCCTTAATGATATACGCATTTTTTGTATGTACCGTTTTCTTGGATGAAACATTGACACTAATATTTTATGATTTTAAAATAATATTTTTACATTATTTATTACTTTATACCTCTCGAGTTATTTTTTAAAATTTTTAACAAAAAGTATGAGTTTCCACTTTTTATCAATAAATATCACAATTCAAATTATTAAATGATCTACAATGGGTTCTGGTCCTAAGAAACACTCAAATTTTCATATATTAAATACATGTAAATTTGGCCTACTACATAATTTTTTTGGGACAATTACATGCAATAGAGGTAGTAAAATTAATTATAAATTAATAAAAAAAATTAATTATAATTATTAATATTTATATTATTTATTATTTTTTATAATTAATTTTTTTTACTCCACTGTCAATAAAAGTTTTCCGAGTTTTTTCATTCACACCACCAAGTCTATCTTTTGGAAAGACGAAAAAAAAGCAATTTATTAACTTATTTTGATTAGATCACCCCTTTATTTTTTTTTATAATTTTTTTTACAATAAATAAATAAAATTACTTTTCAAAATAGACTTAAAAATAATAATAATATTTAGTAATTCGAATTTTTATAACCCGAATGACTTGAATGTCTTAAAACAATCTCATTTTAAGGATAAAAGATATCATTTTGATACATTTAAACATTTAAATCACATAAATTTGAGTATCAAGTATTTTTTTTTAATAATAATTCATTTGCGGTCAATTCAGGCAATGGCAGTGTTAGGTTGACCCTTTTTTCTTCAGTGAAATGATATGTTGGTTGATTATTTTTCAAATTGAAAATTGACCCGTTATATTCACGCATAAGGTAAATTTTTTGTGGGTTGCGGGGCTGGTACGTTTCCATGATCTAAATTTGAATTAATTACTTGAAAATTTTATTTTACAAATATTATGTAATTAAGCTTATTTAAAATTCCTTGAACTAATAAGTCTTATTTAATAAAATGAAATTTATTATTTTTTTTTAATTTTTAAAACAAAAAATATTATCAATTTTGTATAGTATGTTTCAAATAATTTTTCACTAACTGATGAAAAAAACAAAGTATAAGATTAAAGTTTTTATCTTTCTACTTATTAGTTTGATTAACTTATCAAATAAAATCAAGAATATTAATAGTTTTTTTCATTTTAAAATTGAGAATATTATCAGTTTTTTTTTTTAGATTTGTACATCAATGTTCCATCATATTGTCATGACCCGCTCCCTACAATGTTAAGTATCATGATGGCCAGTAACTAAAGTTACCCCGGCAATTCTGAACAAATTAATAAAGCGAGGAAAATAATATTTAAGTAAGGTACCAAAATAATCATCGGATTTTATTTTTATTACAAAATTTATTGACAAAAAAGACCGATATTTACGTATAAAATATATCATAAAATGCTTTGTGTGTCTATTTCCAGCCCCTCATCTAAGACTTCTCAAAAATATTTTTGAATTGCATTGTTTCCTGAAAATTAGTAAACAGCTATAAACACATGACAGAAGTGAAAATACTAATAGCCAAGAGTAACTTAGTCTAAAATAAATAATCATTTAAGTAGCAAAACTGAATATTGTAAATAAATAACTTAACCACGATCGCAAAGAACAAAACAGAGTCACTAGTGAAGTCAGAACAGAAGTACGGATTCAAAGGTGGCTCGTACGAATTATAGAAGTGCTCTCACAATAGTGTAGCACTTATCTCTGCACAGAACAGGTCAATGAATCCATGACAATAGAGGGCCACAAAGTGCGCCAAACAGAGCCAATGGTTATTTAAGTCCCCCAAGGCGTGGGACTCCGTGGTGATACTTACAAAAATAATTTTTATAAGGTTATAGTTAAATATTCTTTAAAATATAAACAAACATATCCATGGTTTCATTTTAACAAATAGAGTTCAGAAATTAATCACGTAACTGAAATATTTATAAAACATAACTTATATTAATATAACTAATAAATACAATTTGTATAAATATATTATGGTAAGTAAAATATACGTAAAATATATTATAGTGACTCAAGTATAATATAATTACCTTAAAAATAATATTTATTCTTTTTTTCTACTACTAAAATCATTTCGACTTCCATTATTTTCTTCCTTTCTCTTTTCCATTTCCCTTCCTTTCTTTCTTTTTCTTTTTCTTTCCCCTGAGTTAGCCATCCTCCTTATAAATAGGGAGGTAAAAGCTTCATTCAGCCAACACGTAGCAAGGCGCGAATCTTCTCACCGATTCGATCAGTTTATATTTATTATTAATAAATATTTTAATATTATATTTTAATCTAATTTTTTAATATAATTACATAAATAAATTAATCACTAATTAAATTACACTTTATCTTTTTCTTTTCTTTCCCCTGAGTTAGACAACTCCTCTTATAAATAGGGAGGTAAAAGCTTCATTCAGCCAACACGTACCAAGGCGCGAATCTTCTCACCGATTCGATTAGATTTATATTTATTATTAATAAATATTTATGATAATTACATTTTGATCTAATTTTTATTATAATTACATAAATAAATTAATCACTAATTAAATTACACTCTATCATATACTAACAGAAAATTAATTTTTATTTACTACACACCATTATTATTATTATTATTATTATTATTATTATTATTATTATTATTATTATTATTATTTATTTATTTATTTACTCTTACTTTTATATTTATTTATTTATTACCTTTAACTTTAATTTGGCCCAACTAGTATTATAATTTTATATTCTGTTAATCTAGCTCCAAATAATAATTTCTAATTAATCACATATTTGATAATCTATTGCGCATAGATTTAAG